ACGGGCTTACGAGGCACATGCTCAGTATACTATCATAAATACGTATTTATATGGTACTTAATACGACAAACTATTGGTGGAAATATTTGAATTTTAAAAATATTTTCATTTTTTTATATTTGAGTTTAAACGTACAATTACTACTTGAATGTCTTTGAAATTCTTATAAATTGAAATATAAATCTAATCAATGAAGCTCCCTTACAAAAATTAATTAACGACCGGGCAATTAGTTTAATCAACCAACCAATTTTGTTGATTACCGTGTAACCATAATTACCTGAACTAATCCCTGCATGTTGTTTGGAGTCACACCACGAATATGATAGCAGTGGCGTTGGTTGTCTATTTATATGTTGAGAATTTCATCAGTTCTGTGGAGCCCCTCCCCCGCCATTCGCCTACCAAATGCACTACCACCACCACCACCACCAACCACATCGACACCACAACCTTCTAGATGCAGATGCACTAAGGTCAAAGCTATCACTGCCACGCCTCCAGTGGAGATAACACTACAATAGTGGACGCTCCTTCGGCTCTTCTAGGCTATGTTATTAGAGCTCTAGACAGTTAGATAAATCATTTAGTATTACTTGTATTGACATAAGCTTTTGGATTCTTTTAATAGTTCCTCCTTTTGCGTCTAAGGGATATGAAGTTTTATTTTGCTTTTATCAGCCTATTCAACTCAGTATATTATTGTGTCTCTTAGTCTCTTAGTTAATTATTATAAATTTTTAATATTTTGATGATTGGTTAAATTTATTTGGTTTGTGTTGTTTTGATTTAAATAATCATTTGTCTTTTAAAAGTCTTTTACCTAAATAATTTTTGGAGGAAATTAAGTGGTAGAATTTATTTTATACTGAACATAAAAGGGTTATATTTTGTGGAATATGAGCGTGTTATTGATTTTAACAGTTTATAACCAATTGAAAAAATTTAAGTTTTTCTTTTATAAGTGTTTTAGCGAATTTCCCATATAGGGAATAAGCTATTACCGTAGTACTCATGGTAAGACTTGGACGCGGGACCGATTTTTTTTTCGTTTTGAGGTCCCTAGAGGCCAAAAACACCATCCGTTCAACGATGGAGTGTCCGTTAGCACGATAACTCGAGCAAAAATGATCCGATTTTGATGAAATTTGGTACAAACGTGTAAACCTACGTTTATTCGAACGAGTTCGCGATCCAGCATGATCGGACAATGGGAACGGGGGTTTACGTGGGGTTTTATGGGGTAAAAATAGGTTTTTCCCATTTTTGACCCAAAAAACATAAAATTTAGCAATTTCTTTCCAAACCATTTTGTAGAGCTTAAAAAACAAATAATTTAGTATATTGAAGCGTTATTATGCGCCTAATGGTTACGGAGAAAATTCCAAAAAATTGTAAATTTAAAATTCCCATGTTATTCTTATGGAGAATAAGTAAACTGTTGTAGTTTGCTTGTTTATGAACACATTTTGATCAAATTTGGAAAATGTTTTTATTTCTTACTAACTATTAACATTTTACAAAAAATTACAGTTTTACCCTCCCTGATGCAGTTAACCTAAGTAATTGTTAAATTAATTCTAGGGAATAAATGTTATATTTTTAAGTAGACATTTCAGTGTAAATCCAGTCAGTCAAATGGAAATTCGCTTAGTCTGCAGGTTTGCTGCGGCGGGGGTATTTTTAATTAGTCTTTGAATTTCTTTAGGCTTATGTTATGCTTTCACAGACATGTGCTATCAAATTAGTATGCAAAATGTATGGATATGTATGGATAGGATAAAATACGACACGGTGTATATGTTTGTAAGATATGTATTAAAACAAGCAGCTCCTACCAAATATTATTTAAAATTATTATAATTATGAAAAGTACATTTTTGGTTTTATTTGTCATGTTGTTTATGCGTTCAAAATACTTAATATTTACACATTTTAAAATAAAATATAGTGAAATATCAGTCATAGAAAAGGAGTTGACCTTGGAAGGAAACCAAAGGTAGTTCGCATTAACCTTGCAGATATCTGTATTGAAAAATATGTGAAGGCGAATCGTCTAATATCAAAAACAATTTTAGGTTGATCATTATTTTAAAACTTTCTAAACATTCTTTTAAAGTAGCAACACACTGATTATTTCATTTCATTTCATTCATTAAAGTAGCAACACACTGATATGATATTTAAGGAATCGATATTACAACTGGTGCAGAGTTATTCTAAGAACCATGTATGTCCACAGATTGACATTTTTATTTCCTAAATAAGACCGTTAATTAATTGTCACTTTCAAAGTGATCTATGTCAATAACGTGTATACATATTACAATTGACTCTTCTGCCCTTCTTTGGTAATTTTCTTCTATATATTTACACATCATGTACCATGTAATCAAGCTAAAATATCTCAATTTAATGTTAAAACTTGAACAATTTTCTTCAAACTATATTTTTGAAATTCTATGGATTCTGGTTCTTCAGATGTTTAAGTGTCATATTAGTCAGGAAATTGAAATTTATAATCAAATTTGACTTAGGTAATTTATGTAGTTTGTAGGAATTGTATTTATGTAAACTATTAGCAATAACAAAATAATACCGGTTTAAAAACGCATTCTAAATTACAACAATCATTGTTCTTATGTTGATTAAAAACATATTTTAACTATAACGGTTTCTTCAGAGAAAGGCTTAAAGTCTGCTCTACTCATTAACCAGGCCAGACACATTGACCACCAGATATAATGAGCTGTTAATGTAACCGTTGCATTAATCCGACTATTATCTAATATGAATCAACCGGTTCCATAGCCTAGTACATAGTGGTCGACCTAGTGACTGCGATGTGACCTTGTCATGGCTTGCCGGTCAAAGAGGTTTTGTAATAAATTAATTTTCAAGTGACACCTTCAATTCATATATTGAAGACAGTGATATTTGTACCACTATTAAGATAAGTTTCCCACGTATGGAGACGTTATCTTACGGTAATGGAAGAATAAAAACCTGAAATTCATTTCTATGTTTAGTTAAATACATTTCTAAAATTATTTACCATTGTGATATTGTTAACCCTTTAATTAGTCCATGTATATAATCCCGTCACTATTCCATAAAATATGAAGTACCTCCATTATAGGTCCATTATTTAATTTTTTTACAACTTTTGGCAAAATATATTTCATATTCAAGAAGCTCGGATAAGACATCCGGTGCTTTGTCAAGAGGGAAACGATCATGCTTATCAAATGCACACACTGCTTGAAAAAAGATTGTATTAAGTGCTTTATTTCAGACAAGAGGTGATAAGGTTTATCTGTCTAATGATATTTAATCAGTGTTCTCAATTAGGATGTCATTCATGTGGTGGATTTGCTAAAGCTACATACAGGTGTACACATTGTATGTATCACAACAATTACTATCAGTAAAAGTAGGTAATTTGATCCTACTTAAATTTTATTCTACTTAAACTGTGAAATTATACATTTATCTTTTTATCTTTTTAGATACTAAAAACAAAAGGTAATAATAACAAAAATTAATTTCCTATGGTAAAAACCCGTAGACAAAAAATGTTTTGTTTTATAATGCCCCTTTGTAGGAAAAGATATAGGCTACTATCGTTGTGACATTCATAAATAATATGTTAGCTGGGATTAAAATAGCTTGGATTTAAAATCGTTGTTAAGTATGAGAATTGGCGTATAAGTAAGGAATATATGTTGATGAATTGGCATGATACGAATCGAACTGGCTTGGCCTTAAATTATACCGTTCGTTTTAATTTTGCCTACAGTAGGTTGTATGGAAATCTTTGTTTTTGAAGGGATATTCAAATAGTTAAATAATAAATTAATTACAATTACAAACACAAGTTTTCCACATTGTTTTTCCCTTGGTCGTTGATGTCATTTTTCATGTTTACTTTATTAACTAATTTAAAAACCATCGTTTCTTACACTAAAACGGTAGTGATAGACGGCAAGTACAAAGAAAAATAGTAATAATCTTCTGTGTGTTTTTATTCCTTTACAAACTGAAAATATTCACTATATTTATTCTTGGTGAGTATTCAAGTTTTTTGGTTGTATGAACCTCTTAACATAATCCTTTGTGGCTGTTTTTAGTTTAGAAAACTACAAATAAATGCGTTAAAAATCAGTTACCGTTATAATACCCAATGGACAGATACCGGAATCTAAATTATCTGATGGCTAGTCTAATATTTTCAAGCGATATTATCTTGAGATGATTATGTGAACTTGACTTGACCCTTAAAATAATCTCCTTTTATTACGAGATAACCGGATCGGTTACTATGACTTTGGTTACACAACCCATTGTAGTCATTGATAACACAAACTCAAACCATTGACCTCATTTCTGTGTTATGGTTTTTGAATTTCTCAAGTGACAACTTTACAAATATCTATATTTAGCTTTATTTTTGTACATTTATCCACTGCTTACTAATGCTTGAATTAGTACTGCAAGACATATTGCGTTATTCGTGTTTTACTCTTGAAGTATGTGTATTGTGTTTTGTGTGAGTCTCACTCCAAATAGTTAATATAAATAGAAAGTTAAATATTTTTATAAGACCAAGTTATGTGGCTAAATAAGTAATGACAAGACAAGTATATCAGGTGTTGTACTTCATAATGAACTTATAATTTAAATACATTGTTCTTCTATTATAATAATTTGACATTTTGTTTCAAATATTCGTTTGAGATTAATATTTGTTTCAATAAAAGAGGTGTGAAAATAAAGTTTACGCTTCAAAAAACTTGTTAAAAAACATGTTATTTTTTCCCAATTTCACCGAGATTCCCTATTATGTTTTTATTTTTGTAATTGCACCGTAAGCATCCTATGCTACCATGCGTTTTTTGCAACGCCGATAGTAATCCTTGTCTTATCTTTGTGTATTTACCAAAACAATATGTGTTAGTAATCTTTATCGGTTAGTAAAGCGGTAATCTTTTCCAGGCTCCCTTACTGCGTACACTCGTAGTTTTGACAGTCTCTTTGGAATGTATTCATGCTGCGAGGATACTAGGGATGTTGCCCATGTGGGCGAAGAGTCACCACAACTTCCTGCGGCCCGTCATGAAGGCTCTAGCAGCTGCTGGGCATGAGGTGGTCAACTACACACCCTTCCCCCTGGACAAACCCCCTCCCAACTACACCGATATCTTCCTGGAGAACATCAAGCCTGATTGCAAGGAATGTAAGCTTAGTGGAGTCATTGTTTAGTAAGAGGATATTCTTCTTTAAAATGTGCCGTACTGAATTACGTGTCCACCAGAGAATAGTTTAGATGGTCTTAAAATGTATTTGATTATATTTATAGCAATCGAATAGGTTTTGAGGGCCAGGGTTCAAATCCAACTAATTAACAATGGTCTTTAACTATTAAATAATAAGGTAATGAGGCTATACGTATGTTCCGTAACAAAACGATATGCCCCTCAGACAAGAATAGTCACTGTTTTAGGACAATCAATTATTTTATAAATAATATATAAATCATTTATTGAATCTAAATTCAGTTTTCTGTTGATGACCAGTCGGAACAAAAAACATTTTAAAGGACATATATTTTGTACCAGCGTAAAAAATAAGGATAAACTTCATAAAAATATAAAATAGATCATTAGTAGTTAAGTGACCAATAAAACATAGTCTACACAGTAAACTATATGCATTTGTCTGCGATGAACTTTTGGTATACTGGTAGATAAGTTTATACTTTGTTTAGAGCACAATAAACATAGAAAGCAAAAAATGAATGTTTTTAAAAACATACTTAGATGAACCTGTTAATACTCATGCAATACATAAATCACATACAGTTTTTGACGACGAATCTTGAAAAATACTATTATTGTATTATTGAAGGGTAGTTTAGAATTTTACATAATAGATAAAAAATTTCAATTCTTAACTGTAATATATGATTTTAAATACTATTCAATTTTAATAGCCTACTAATTTAATTACTATAAATATTCATGTATTACAACGACCACTATCTATTTTCAGTGGCAGACTACTTCATAGAGATCACTGACTTTCCGGAGTGGAAATGTGTCGACTTGTATTGGCCACTGCATCTGTTAACGTACCCATGGTTCATAGAGGATCCAAAGGTCCAGGAGCTGCTCACCGGGAAAGACAAATTTGACTTAATATTCATCGAGGGGACAACAGTACATGAGCACACTCTCGTAATGGGGAGAATATTCAACGCTCCAATCATATCGCTCCAAACGTTTGCCCTGAACAATTTTCTCAACAGTCATGCTGGAAATGACTATCAGCTCTCTTACATACCGGATACTTGCCTTTCCTTATCGAACAGGATGAGTTTTCAAGACAGACTTTTCAATGCGTTTACGAGTATCAGAGGGTTGTACCACTACCACAACTCTCAACTTAGGTCGCTGGAGGCGATGATGAAGAAGGCATTTCCAGATCTCCCACCAATCGCTGAGATGGCAAGGAATATATCGTTACACTTCGTCAATGACCACGTCACTGCTGACTACGCCCAGCCACGGCCACCCAATGTTATCGGTGTTGGAGGCATACACATAGAGCCTAATAAACCTCTGCCAAACGTAAGTTAATAACAACTGATTTACGTCCAGCGTAGATTAATAGTCGTAGTACTTAATACTTTTATATTTTTTTATGAAATACTGACCATACAAAGTAGGTATTTTAAACCAAGTATGAATGGAGATGAGCGTAGGATGAGTGACGCGATCTTGTAGTCTTTTTACTGACTAAGGTCGACATATTCCTTGGACACAGCTGTTAATTAATAGGCCGTATAGCTAATGACAACTAAGGGGCCTACAGTTTATAGTAGAATCCGAACCACATTTTTGCCTTTGTATTAACGAATAAGTCTAATTGTCAAGATAGTACTGCGGATAGTCGTAGTACTCACTAGTGCGGACGTAAATCCACACCAGGGAGTATCGAATCCACAGTGCATGCCTATAAATATCCACAATTCGTGACCTCCTAGTAGCTGGATTACAGGACGACGCCATTGTCCCAGTGAGTATAGGTTACTGTATTGATTTTACAATATATTACAAGCCTATATTAAACTAAAACTGGGTTAAATATTTCAGTGTTTTTGTGTAGCTAACGTTGGAAATATTTAGTTAAGCCATTGGTTAATATTATTTCAATACTTCCCCTGTACTTTACAATTGCCAGACTCTTATCCAGAGGTGGGTCACAATTCTTTACTTGTTTTTAAAATTCATTTTACAGCACAACCAACCATAAATACATGTTTCAGGAAATAAAAAAGTTCATGGATGAAGCACCAGCCGGTGTTATATTTTTCAGCCTGGGCACCTATGTCAACGATGATATAAAACCAAAAGAATACTTTGATATGTACATCAATGTATTCAAGCGATTTAAAGAAAGGGTAATCTGGAAGACGAGAAAGGGAGATATTGAAGGTCTTCCGCCAAACGTGTTAACTTTAAAGTGAGCACCTCAACCCGATATTTTAGGTAAAAGATATTTCAAAATATGACCGTAGTACTCTTAATACAGTTTCTAGCCCCTCCTATGCATTTTTGGTCTGAGGATGGAGGTTGTAATACGTATATTATTAATTTAAATACTGGATCAATTAACGATTAAATATGCCAAAAACAAAAAAAATTAGGTACAGTTAAACACACTGGAAAAACCGTTCAAACTACCATCTTACCGTTCAAACTAGGGTTAAGTTCTTCACTTGACGAGAAGTGTGATATTTCGTATAAAAGGTACAGAGAAACTTTATTTTTAATATTTAACGTCTAATTATTGTTTCAAGACACTCTAAAATATGCAGGCCATATGTAAAAATGCACACAACTTTCAAATTGTAAACAATACTATACAGTACTTAAATTTTACATTGTTGGCACCACACATAATCTAACAATTATTTATCCACATTTGTTTATTCATTTAAGACGGCATTACCTATTTTTAATACTAAATATACTTCTACAATATCAAAATTACAAAGCAATTTATAAAAGGTATGTCTAAACTTGTACTCAAAAAATGATCTGCCAGTGTAGCCATCTAACAAATAAAAAACCCTACTTAATGTTAATTATTGAAGAAATTGAATATTTGGGTAAGAAATTAACTTAAATCGGGAGTGAAATTTGGATTAAGAATTTTATGTTGATCAGTATAAATTATTAAATTAATGATTATATTTTTTTGTGAACAAGTATCATTGTAGAGACTCAACTGTATAAAACAACAAAATATATTTTTAACTTCAAATAAAATAAACCAAATTAGGAGAAAAAGAATGTAAGCTTGTTCCCGAGGTTGTTGTCAATTTTCTATTTTCAATCTTGTTTTGTCTTCAGCCCACCCTAACTGTGTGCTGTTCATCACTCACGGGGGTCAATTCAGCACACTTGAGGCAGTTCACTTCGGCGTTCCTGTCATCGGTATTCCTCAGTTTTTCGATCAGCATCGCAACGTCAGGTTCTTCGTAGAGCGAGAAGTCGGAGTTAAGGTTGCCATCGACAACATCTCAGAGAAGACGATGAGTACAGCGATAAGAGAAGTACTGGACAATCCACGGTTAGTAAAATATATTGTGAGGTTAATCTTTAATTAAAACTACTTAGCCTACAAAGCATGTTATCATCTCACTGTTACCACTTTCCTGTAGACCTAGGACCAAAAAATGACTTATGATTCTCAAGGGTATCAGGAAAATTAGCTGAAATTGTAGTCTACTGTTGAGCCTGGCTGGGGCATATTACTCGTCTCCTAAGTTTCCACGGACATGTCTGAACTAATACGATGACTCCCTAGACCCTATGGCAAAGGTCTGGAGTTTGCACTAAAAACACTCTAATTCTTAGTTTTCCCCACCGTGTTTCTCTAAGCTATAAAATTTCATGTAACCTTTTGTAAAATTATGTATGTACCAAAACATTTCTTGTACTTTTAAAACTTAACACCTTCAGTCAATGTTTTATTGTTTCCTGGTAAACTAATTTATTATTAGATTGAGGCTTTAGAAATGTTATGCTTTCGTTTTAAGGTCTTGAGACAGTGCTGCCTTGTACAATTCAAGTATATTTTTTGAATCAACAAAATAACTTTTACTGCAGGTATATAGTTATTTGTGCAACTAGTGAGAAAAGTGAGCAATTGACTCACTCGAGAGAAATCCTTACTCACGAGCCGTAGGCGAGTGAGGAATGGTTTCTCGAGTGAGGCAATTGTACTTTGAACTCGAGTTGCACATTATACTTTTCCTACAATACCATAAAACAAATAAATTGGTGAAGAAACATAACCTATTTTTACACAGAAGTGAACTTTTAATATAACATTAAATGTGAAGTGACAAATACAACAGTACAACAGCTGACCAGCTGATTTACAGCCAGTGCTGCCAACGTACTTCGCGTGCATACGACGTTGCCTGCATGTTACGTGCTCACTATTTCGTGCCTTCACGTTGCAAATCTGGAGTGAGACAAAGTAATTAGAGTGAGACAATGTTAACATTGTCTCACTGATGAGCGAATTGGCCACTTTGCTTTCTCAAATCAGTGAGAGAACATGTACATTGGATTAAGGGTGTCGTACAACAAATGTACAAGTACCAAACTCTAATTCAAACCAGCTTATATCATTTGAAAAGGCCTCCATGCACTCTCAGGACTAAAAACATTCTAAAAATGAGTTCATCAGTCGTGGAAAGACAATTAACATTTTATTCAAAATTAAATCCTTCAAGCAGTCAGTCTCGTAAACTTCTGTGAGATTTTAGACCTTCAATGAGTAATTTTAGCGCAAAAAACTATGTATAGACCTAAACTTAGTCTGTGTTGCTTGGTTAGCATGATAAGTAAATCAGTGTCTGCAGTAACTAATCCCTTACACATAGTTGTACTCCAGAACCATAAGGACTTGCTAATTATTGAAATGTGACATTTTAGGAATAAAGTAGAGCCATTAATATCCAGCAGGGATTTTGCTGACTGGAGATATGGTTTACAGTTACAGAGACAACATGGAGAGGTTGTCAGCGGTATTCAGAGATCGGCCTATGTCTCCTGCGGAGTCTGTCGTGTTTTGGACGGAGTACGTGTTGAGACACGGCGGAGCTCCGCATCTGAGGCCAGCCTCTACTGAGCTGCGATGGTATCAGCTATGGCTACTGGATGTAGCCCTGTTTGTATTATTGGTACCAACTTTTTTAATTACTTTTTTTGTATTATGCTACAAAAGGTTAACACAAAAAAGTGTTTCTATATTAAAAAAGCGAAACTAGTTTCCGTCAATTTTAATCTCATCCTATTTTCAACAATTGAATGAACAAAATCCGTTTGTGAGTAAGGAGTAGGTAGGAGTAGGTGATTATACTATAGTAATAAACATCGTATGTCCTTGTTGCAGTATTTTCTTAAAAGTATTTTATCACATAGTTTATCTTGTTTTCCAAACACCAAATATCATTCGGTAAGTAACAAACATTTACTTCATTACTTACACCCTCAAATGGGTACTGTATGCACAGTAGCCTCAAACTTGAAAAAATAAATTGCTTTTAAAGTATAATCAAGCTGAAACGAGCCAAACATTTCATGTTGAAAAAGGTTTAAAGCTTAAGAAAAATTAAGCCATAAAAATCATAAGTATAACTCGAAGGTGAAATTTATGAACGTAAAGTTAACACCGGTTCTTAATTTTGCAAGAAAACCCCCAAAAGACGTATTCGAGGTACCTGGTAGACCTTGGTTCAGTCACAAACCTCTTGTTGCCCAATAACAGCTCACTTGGAGGTGACCCTTGACCCTACGAATCAGGAATGGCCCTCGATGACGCATTATTGGTTTTTGCACAAATTTTTACAGAAAACAGAACTTACTAAAACAGCTTGCACCTTACTTTATTAGACAATGCGAAGTCTCTCTAGGATATATAGTCGAAAGGCATTTAAGAATAACACTAAAACACTACCATTTTACAACATACGGTTTTACAATCTATCTATATATATAATACGCTAAGCCGATTTTTGTAAACAGAACTCCTCCCTCATTTTTGAACCGATTTTGATGATTAAAGTGTCCAAAGAGTTGCCCTGATCTGTAGTTTTGCAAAGTCTTTTTCGTTTTTTGAAATCTTTATTAGTTTGGACAGGATCTTCTATCAAAGTTGGATTTTCTCCCATAAGATTAACATGGGGGAATCTAAATATTTAATTGGAAACTTTGTCTCCACAAATTTGAGAGAACGGCTGGGCGTAGAAACATGGTTGAGGTGTCCAAAGAGAGATCTTAGTCTGTAGATGAGTTATCAAAAGAATAACGAAGTAAATTCCCTTAGGGCTCTGCCCCAGAAGCCTTTAAAGATCACTCCTCAGATTTGTTTACATTTTGGCCATGTGGATAATACTTTTTAATGGAACAGCTGTTAATTTTTAAATATTGTAAATTAAACAACACATATTTTTTGGGAGTTGCTGAATTGTCCAAAAGAAGTATTTGCAATGTTATTTTCTGATTTTAAAATGGATTTTCTTCTGTATCATGTGATGTTACAAACATTTTACAATATTTGTGTATGTGCATGATTTAGAAAGTTATTAAGCTGGAAAACTGCAATATACTGCAGACTTTTCAGAGAGGTTACTTCGATGTATTCATTCAGTTAAGTGAAAACAAAATATAGATATGTATACAAATAAAAACTTGAACTCTTCAAAGATAGCCTTTGAATGTTATAAGACTAACGGAAATGGTTGTGCATGTTTACTGGCGCTGCTCAGCAACAAGAACAATTTAATTTATCTATAAAAAATATATTATTAAAGTGCACTGAGCAGCAGCCAAAAAAATCTCTATAACTTACCCATATAGTTACAAAATGCTCAAACTTGCATTGTGACATTTATAATTCGGCTTATATTTCTCCAACAGATAATTCATCTGCAGAAGAAGTTTATTGTGCTCTTACCGTGTCTAACAACTCAACATCCAGACACAGAAACTTTGCCTTAAATGGTACCTATCTTGACAAATTATTTGCAGTGGCCTATATTACGGACCGTGGCCCACTGGGTTAGTAACATGATTGAAAATAACACGACATTTTTGCTGTCAAAAATAGCACAATGAGTAAATACTATTTAAGCAGCTACTGTCATGACAGAAAGGTCATATTCCTTTTACACTAGATTACATCATCCTTCATAAGATACGTTGATTAAAAATGCATGTAAACGTCAATATTTACGTAACAGCCAATTTACAGTATTTTTTGCTCTTTAGAAATGCCACATTGCTATGTCATTTGCATTATTTGTTGCTAATGAAGCCGCACGACCATATAAACGAGGAGGCCTCAGTTCAAGAATAAAAGCCAACTTCACTTCAAGTAATAGTACACTACACCTAACATTCCATAGCGAGATTATATTGACAACTTTATGTAACTGATAAGGCTGAGACAACTAACTGACATCCCCATGTCAAGGAATTCTAGCTTCGACAGTACAGTAACCCCACAACCAATTTCTCAAAACTATGCTAGAGGGTTATTCATTGGCACAGAAGTACGATATGAACTGACACGACATGACTAAGGAAAAATCACACTTACACTGTAACGGATATACCTCCCTTTGAAGTTAGAACGTGTCTTCCCAACAAACAGATATTAAAAAAGCAGATATATAAAAGCATAGATTAATCTGCATTACACTGAAAAATATTCACCAATACGATTGTAATACTATTTAAAGGTTCTTCCAAAGGAAGAGATACCAGATAACATACTTATAATAACTCCGACGTATGGTATGGGAAATATTTTATTCATTGAATGATCAACCATATTTGGTAACTATCGCAACTAATATCATTATTTTTTTACACTTATTACTCTTAAAACAAACAAAAAATGCTAAATGCTCAAAACATGTATAATTTCACTCAATTTATCGCAGTTAGATGAATTAGCGTAAGTCTTGAAAGTAACCGTCGATTTCGACGGGTTTCACCTAGTAGTCTTTATTGAGTTAAATATTTACTAAAATACATCGATACAAAAACACACACGTAGGGATCTTTCTACGGTTAATTATTTTTACAAAATACTGAATAAATCAGGAAACATACCTATCCCTACACTATTGGAGATATTTTTTAAGCAATATTATCCAAGTCTCCCTGTTAAATGAGAAAAAAGTTTTGTTTATTTTATACACCTACCCGTTGGTTATGTCCATACTTTACTGCATGGTGCACTCAAAGATACTAAATGAAACTGCCACACTACTTTTGGAACTTATGGTGCCATAATTGTGAATTTCATTGGATACTTGTATGTCTATCTAAAGTACCCGAAGTGTGGGTTAGGTACTTTATAAGTGTCGTTGTGTGCAACAATATTACAACTCACAGCAACTTAGTTGCCAAGTA